CAGAAAGAAAATGAAATTTCAACCCCTGTGCACCTTTCAGGTGCTTTTTTTCTACTTTTTTTTTTTTTTTTTGTGTGCGCTTTACATTCACACTCCAGCTTCTTTTTGGAATAGTTTCCAATGCAGACAGAAGTATTTCCCAGGTATTTTGGTAATGAAGATTAGCATAAACAGCAGCTTGATTCAGTGGCTGCCTATAGTAAATGTCAATTCCTTGCAGTCCAGCTCATTTCAAACACTATCCATTCAAACAGTCCCTCTTTACCTAAGACAATGTTACAGGATAATAAGCAAACCTTGTAAATGATGCTCTTCAGTGGAGACATAAGTATTGTATGTCCTGGGTGGGAAAGAAAACCAATGACACTAACACGTACAAACTATAATGATAGAAATTATTGTGAACAGTTCTAGTGTCCCTTTCTATTACGCTCAAACTGCATGCGTACATGCATATTTGTGCATATTTATGCCAGAGCATTCAATGCTAGGTCATTTTTCATCTGTACATAGGGCAAGACTACAACCCAGACATCTCCAGCTGTCTCCCCAAACACAGGATCCTAAATGAATGGCTAGCTGCGGACACTGAAGAACAGGAGAAAAAAGGTGGGAGGTGAACATTCATGCAGATGACACTTTTAAAAAAAAAAAAAAAAATACACTACTGTATAGCCACAGCTAGAGAAGCAATGCAGAGCTCTTCACACAAATGGCAGTTGAAGGGGTTCTCAGTCATGTGTTTGACTCTAAAAATTGCTCCAGTAGCATAGCATTTGGTGAAGGTGTAAATTAAGCTGGAGACAGTGATAGTGCAGACACTCATGCTCAGACAGGACACTCCACAGCTTGTGAAAGACGGCTCCGTTTCAGCAGCCTTGCAACAGGAAGCAACATGAGATGGAAGGTGCAAAGATTAGGGTAGCATAGAGCTCACAGATACCAAGATGTGCATTAAACGTAAGAACCAAAAGAAAGCCACTGTACCAAAGCTTCCACACCAGGATAAGCAGGATCAAAGATGCACATCATTCCTTGTTATTGGCTATGCTGAGTAACAGGCCTGAGGAAAAGCATACATGTACATCACCTCCCTTGACCCCAGCTGAAGCACACCAAAGCAATAAAGGAGGATACTGGCTGGCTTCAGAGCTGGTGTTCAGGAGGTGCCTTTTGGTACTGAAGCAAAAGGGGTCTCTGTAACCTTAGACCGTAACTCATGACAGCACACCAACAGCCCAGTAATCTAGTAAAATGCAATAGCTCAGGCAACCAGGGTGATCCAAGTCCATCTGTTAAGCATTTGGAACTTGTTCCATCAGTTCTCAAGTTTGCCTGCTTCCTGGAAGAGTGGACAGAGTTCAGACTTCTTTACTTCCCGGGCTGAAGCTCTGCAGTCCTCGCTGACCACCAGCCAAACCATGTACCTCCCCGTACCTCCTAGGGTGCGCTCCAGCTCTTCCATGGAGCCAGGTTCCATCAGCCTGACATGGAGATGCTTCTCCAGACACCAGTGGTCACATTAGTTACTGAAAAATATTCCTCTCCACTTCAAAGCTGTATCCTTGACAGGATAAAAGAGTTGATGCCCTGCAGGATGTGGAAGGAATGCCATTACTCTGTAACAGCCATGTCATTGCCAGGGCAGTAAGTCGCTATGCACAAAAAGGATGTCCAAGGGAGAAGCACACAGAAACAAGCAAGCATGCTCTCAGGTGTCTTTGAAGTGATTTTAGAAACACAACACTACAGGCCCTGTGAGATCTCAAATCTCCACCAAGCAATGGAAACAGACATTGGTAAGCACTGAATTAAGTAGCAGAAAAATACAATAGCAGAGCAATACTGGCAAACTGTTTGAAGGTAGATGTTAGGTGTTTTTTTCCAGTCTTTGAAGGTGTTGCCTGGATGGCAACACGCTGAGAGACAGACCCCCAAAGTTGCTTTCAAATCTTTAAGCACAAACTTCCTGATAGCCGAAAGCTGTCAATACCCACCAATGTTTCTCACAGACAGACTGTCTCACAAATTGCTGCCAACACCTGCCTAGCAAACACATTGCTAGCTACCTCTGGGGAAGGCCAAACAACAAGATCCAGGGAACAAAAACATGACTCAAGCTGCAGTACAGCTCACCAGTGACTATGCACAATAGCACCAGGAAACTGACCGGCTAGTCAGCACAGTTACCATGCCAGTGAGCCAACATTTCTTGGTGCACAACAGCCATAATCCTTAATGAGACCAAAAGTTCCGTGCTGCTGAGTAAACCACCTCAGTCACTGCCTAGCAGCAAACAGTCCAGGAAAAACAGACAGCCTACACTAAACCTCCTTCCAGTTTCTAGTAGCCAGCAGTTTAAAAGTAATTGCTGAAGAACAGAGGGCATTCTGTAAGGAATCACTAAAGTCCCCATCATAAATAAGAGTTTTTTTTTCCCCCAGAGGTAATTGCACAGGAGCACAAAATTTGATTTCCTTCATACCTGGTAACAATATCCAAAGACTGGGAAGACAAGCAGCAAAAATCTACCCAGACTCTTGAATGGGTCCGATAGCCATCTGTGGACTACTACATTGTAATCAATGCTCTGTTCAGGAGTGGCAGCTTCTTTTACCGCCTGAGAGACAGAAAGGATCTGCACAAATAGGTGAAGAAGGCCCCCAGTCATTGCAGATGAGGTAAAGAAGCCCCAGCACCCTACTACAAAAGGTACCCTTCAGAGCAGCAGACACAGCAAACATCCATCACTAACAGGTCAGCAGAAGTGATTCAGTCTTCTCTCCTTTTAAAGAGGGATGGAAAGGCAGTGTCAAAAGGAAATGGTTTTCTGTCAATAAAGACAGGATTAGGAAGAGAAACAGAAGCAATTACTGCAAATCCTACAGCACTGCCATGACTGCATGAAGTACTCAGTGATTACATCCATTGAAATCAAGCTCTCCAGGACCAATACTATCAAATTATCTCCAGCAGACAGTCTTTAATACTCAAAGCTTGAGAGAATATGCTAAAGGAATGGACAAACTTAGCCCCAACAACTTTTTAAGCTGTTAGGGCAGACATGCTTGCTGGTGTTGAGCTGCTCAGGCATAAGAAACAAGCATGTATCCTGGGAATGACACATGGTTCGAGTGCAACAGAAGAGAAGGACTAACTACTAAAATTGCCCTGAGAAAGGAACAAAGGCAAAGAAGGAGGTTACATTGTTAGACATTAGAGAAACAGATTTCATTCTGCTTTACATCCTCATGCACAAAAGGGAGGGATGCAATGTAAACAAGTGCCTTCATGCATGTCATGAAACTAATACGTGAAAAACAAACTTTCTTTAGTAGGGAAGTGTCACTCAAAACAAAGTGCTTTTTATTAAGGGGAAAAAAAGAGGACCTAGGTGTTACTCAGCATTGCTGTAAGTAAACATACCATAAAGCAATCCAATTCCTCAGCAGAAACATAAAACTTCCCCACTACCACCTCTTACAGCAGAGAGGCACAAACTAAGTGACAGAGCAGATTAGTAACTATTTAAGATAAGAGCTATGCAGACCTTTGATGCCAGCTTCTGAGCCAGCATGCAAGGTCAAAACAACTTCTTCCCCAAAGGGTTAATTATAGAGATGACACTTATCATTAAACTGAAGACAGAAACAAGCTCATGTACCGTTGAGATATCAAGGCTTACTTAGTAGTAAAATTAGTGTATTTATATGCAATTAAGTAGCTAGGATAGGTAGAAGATACTGTTGAACAGATGAAACAACCAAAAATGAAAAAATGGTACAAAGGTGTGAAATGTTTAAAAAAAAAAAAAAAAGCAGAAGGGAAAGAGAAAGAAGGTGCTTAAGGCATACAAGTAGGAATGACTTCATTATTGACACAGCACTTTTCCCTTCAAAAAAACATTTATCCCCTGAAATACAGAAAAGAAACCACCATAGTTCTAAACATTGTGCCAAAATTACCTAAAACATTTGCATCTGTTCAAAGGAAAAAATCTTGAATAGAAACCTTTATTTAAGCTAAACCAAAAAAAAAAAAGCTATGTCTTTGGCCCAAAATTTTTAGATGCCACATTATAAAAAGTCCTTTCCTAAAAAAAGATTAAACATGGACAAAACCTCATCTTCACAACTACTTATGCTTTAGAGTTTAAAATTGTGAGCTACTTACTATAAAATAGTGCAATTCAAAAATATCTTGAAAGAGGAACATCTACATATAGGCTGTGTTATAAATGTCTGTGACACCACGGAGTGCAGTTGTACTTATGGATTAATGCTATGTAGTTTGTACAACCTTGCAGAACACATTTAAAGCACTAAGATGATCCAAATAAAACTGTATATAATACACTATTAGCTTTAAAATGTGTAAGGAGTTTGACACAAAGCAAGCGAAACAGGTGCTTATTGCATAGTTACACTTCTCCATTGCTGTGAAAGCAGGATCTGGTGATGGAAGTATTTTTACCTCACTCTGAAACGCAGTGACCGCTGCCAGAGTACATTTAACATGAATGCAAGCAAAATTTACTAGTTTTTAAAACAATACCCTTGATGCTATGCACTGAGACAATACTCTGTAAATCAGTTTATTTTCCATGTAGTGGACAAATCCAGTCAGCGTAATTATTTTTCCGCATGTGAATGGTAAATTCAAAGTGCTTATTTTCCCACAAGAGTGGGTTCATTGTGAGAATACTGGGCCTTGCAATACTCTATAAAGCTCTCAATTTAAAGGTTAGTTGTAAAAATTTGGAACTGTAACATCAAGGTTCTTTTCCATTAATAACAATGACTACGCTACAATGGCTAAAGAGCAATTATGTGTGGAAGAAGTAGAACAGCACAACAGCTCAATTAAGGAAAAGAGTTTTAGTGCACTTTGCTCATTTTAGCCAACATGCTACATTGCCCTTTTTGCATACAAAGTGGACTCAAGGATTTCCATTGTAAGAAAGAAATGACCTGGCAAGCAAAACACAGTGTCAAGCTGCCCTTTTTTCCCCCTTTTATATGTGGACATTTTAAGACAGAAGCTTTGCAAGACATTACACAATTCTTTTTGTTTTTATTATTAAATGAGAAAGTCTGATTTGTTACATTGTCACATTGCTAGTCAGAAATGCTGCAGTGATGAAGAAAGTCAATGCTGGGGCAACCCAAGTCCTCATTCTACAACATTCGTTAACAAAGAAATATAGTAATGTTCAACACACCCAACACAACATTCCTTGCTTTCTTCAGAGAGAAGTCCCATCACTCTTCTTCTAATCGGGTATGTTACTACATAACTTAATTTTTTTTTTTTTTTGATAATACATCCCCATATTCTCATGAAATCAAAAGAAGCTTCTACAGATGGTACAGAAATCTTCACACATCGTCATCATCTGATGTATCAGTGCTGCTCGTCTCAGAATCATCATTCTCCAGAGCAGGTTTGAAAGTGCTGTTTTTCCAGGGGCTAAATTTAAAATCACAGATGAGGCCATTTTTCAAAATGCCATTTTTCCGGAGGCCATTTTTCTGTAACTGAAACAAGAAAACATGATGCATTTAGAGAGAAAAAGCTAAGCACAATAATCTGCTGCATTTCAGCGCTCTCTACATCTTTGTCTATGGACTACGTTAGATCCACAGCACTACCTGTTACGTACATGCACAAAGGAAAATTCACCTGAGAGCCTTCAGTTTTGGACCTGAACCCAAAAGCCTGCAATCAGACCAAGCTAAGCTTCTGTACTGTGCAAGAGTTTACCCTCTTCCCATCTACCTCCTCAGATATTTTGCCCCAGTGATCTCCCCCCCACACACACTGTCTCTTCTGTTATGCAGTCCCTTTTTCCAGTCTGCTATAAAAAAAAAAATCAAGTCTAGATTGCCCATTCAGACTATATTACTAGTAAATTTTTTGTTCCTCAATTTATAGCAAAGGCAGACAAGGAAGCCATAATAAAATATTGAAAGAAAATTCCCTTTCCTCAGGCTGAGCCGAGGAACTGGAAAGCTTGTACAATTCTGCAACCAGCAATGCTGAAACTACTCAGAATCCCTCCCTTCCCCTTTCCTTGATATTTTCAGCATAGGCGCTCTCTAAAATAAGCACTGCTCCCCATATCTTTTTTAAGCCACTGTTCTTCTGAAAGGGCAAGGGAGGAAAAAAGATAGAGGAAAAAAAAATGGCACTCAAATGGCACCGACCCTAACCATCAAAATTACTGGAGATCCTACTCAATGGTAGGTATTTAGGGCATCCATCTATAAATTCATCACAGAATATTAACTTAGCATTACCTGTTCACTGATGACTTGGAATTCCCTCATCTCATCCTCTGTTAGTGGAGCACACGTTTCATCATTTTCTGCATCTTCCTGCCAGCCCATCTCCTTTAACAGCCTTTAAAATAAAGGGGACAACATTAAAGAATTTCTGCACACACTCAGACATTTCAAGCTCTGCCTATACAGATATGTAAAGTAGTGTAATAAATACATTAGCTCATAAATCTTTTTTAAACAGCCTTTTAACCCACTTTCATGTAAGAGTTTAAGAAAAGATATATAAAGCACAGAAATTCAGAAGTCGTAAGGTCCTTCACAGCTGACCCTGTTCTGACACATTTGATTTTAAAAGCTGCCAAAACTAAACAGTAATACTTAAATCTACAGAACACATAAGCAAACGTTCACTCCATGGCTTGTACGTATTAAGTATTACATTTCCTGCCATCAAGTTTCACATACAAAATAGACCCCTCCACCTCTGCCAATCCAGTGAACATACCAACACAAATGCCAAACTTTCTATTATCTTACTCCAGCATCTTTATTAATCTACTGACAGTGTTCCCAGATATGGAGGCTCTTAGGATAAGCTGCCCAATATCTGGAGTAAAGCCTTATGGAACGCAGCCTAGAAAAACCCTCACTTTCTCCTAGTCTGTCTCAATTGGATGGCTGCTGTCCAGAACTGCAGCAATAAAGCAAGCAGAAGAGAAAATAATTTGGACCATATGCAAGTTCAGCTTTTGATGCATGGAGATTCTCTTGAAAGCTTATCTGGTGTTGTCACACCACAGCCTTTCCAGCCCATTAAGCCGCATTGTCAGGTTATTTATCTAAGAAGTCATTCAAGGTAAATGAGTACAACAAAGAGACCTTGGCTACGCAGTGGCATCTGTCATATTCCTAAGGTTCAAGCTGCAAGAAAGCAGAATGTAAGTCAACTTTATTTTTAAGGCAAGAAATCTATTTAAGATGGAAAAGTAAGAATATATTTCCTTTGCATAAGTACTTCGGTGGAACCGTAGCATGCCTCCTCAAAAATGGTGTGGAGAGGCAAAGATGGACACTGAGGAAATGGGCAGTTTTTTTCCTGTATAACAGAGCAACCATGACAATGCTAGCACAACAGTCCCTCCACAGGAACCAAAAGAAGAAATGTTTTTTCATCTCAAACCCACAGGATCTTCTGCATCAAGTCACAGGGACAGTGCACCTAGGAGAAGCTGCATCGCTGTTCAGTAACAGAGGCATGATTCAGAATGCAATGGCCTCCTAGAGTTTCTACTTTTCTAACATATGCTAGTGTCAGAGATAGACAGGATACCCTGTCTCACCTGACAGCAGATGTTGATATTACAGCACAGACAGACCACAACTAAGAGTGAGTTTTAGGATACGGGGAGGGAAAGAAACAGACACATTCCTCTGGTGATTTAGCTTGAGATATCCAAAACTGCAATAATTGAAGTGTTTTGGCTGGTGCCAGAAGTGTGACGGCAGTATCTGCACATGATGCCAGTGGTTTTAGATGTGAAGACACTGTGGTACCATGGTTATCTAATGAAGACACTGTGGTATTTAATGAAGATGGTATGTTTTCTTGCTGCAAAGTTTTTGCCAAAAGGATTAGCATCTTCCCCTGGCAAACCATTTGCTTGTTGACCTGAAATCTTAAGGAAGTAAAAGCTATTTCACAACAAAAATATAGAGGCTCCTGAAAGTATATGCTAGAACTGGTGCAGGAAACTGACAGAGATGAAGAACACTGAATATATTAAAAGTTAGTTAGCACAGAAGTAGTTAGATGAACTCAAGGTGATGAAGCCTACCTGATACTTCATTTGGCCAGATGTCAGCAAAAAAAGCCCTTCAGTGGAACCCTCCCTTCAAAAAATTCTAGGTCCCAATACAAAAGGTTGTATTGCAACATCATCTGAAGTTAGCAGGACCGCTGTGTCTTTACAGCAGCATTAGTTTCTAGGACTGTTATGAGGGTGAACTATACTAAAAAAAAATTACACTTCAAATTAGGAAAGTCACCAACAGGACGAGTACATAATCACTGCACAGTGGAAACTCCCCTAGTGGAAGGAAACCCAAGAAGTATTCTGTGCAACATGTGCCAATTCAGTTATTACGCATACACAAGCATCCTGTGAGTTAAGCTGGTCACTTCAAGTCCATTTTTCTACTAAACACCTACCAAAAGCACTGTATGTACACTAGAGGTCAAAGCCAAAGGACTAGCATGGTAGAGACACACAATGTCTCCAGGATACCACAGAGAGAAGCTTGCCCAGAAACCCTATGAAGGCCATTGTCATTTGAGTTGACAAGTGACAGATTTGACTCCAATCTTACAGTCAGAAATCAGGGTCAGCAGCTACCAGCAGTCCAAGATTTCTGTCTCCACAGTCAATAGGGGGTGTGTAGGGGGCAGGGGAAATGAAAGAACAGGCCAGACTGCATTTCACTTCCGACATGCATACCAAAGAGATCAAGAAAGTCTCCTCTACAGGTAGTACAAAAGAAGTTGTCTAGTCCAATGTATACATACCGTCTATCACTGGAAAAAGATGCTGGGTTTCTTCAGTTACCAGAAACAGTAATAATTTATCAGAACTCAAACAAGCTCACACCTCCAGATGGAGTTATGATTTCTCAGCAGCACCATTCTTATCTCTACCAGCTGCTACTGCAGTTACTTCTTATGAGATAACAGAATTATGTTTCGAACCTTTTTGAAGTTACTTTCTCCCTTTCCATTGAATGGTCTTGCAATATCACTATGTCACATGGTCAGTTATAAAAATAATCCATTTATTTAACAACAAGAAAAAACTCAGAGTTGTACATAAGATGCATCATTTAAAGTATTGTTAATACTCATAGCAATTACATGCATTGTTCCTCCTAGATATGCAAATCAGTTTGCTTTATTTGTTTATACGGAAATATATCAAACATTTAATAAAGCAAGTTAAAGATGCCAGTACATGACTCAAACAGAAATTCTACGTTAGTACACGTCAATAAGTTAAACTTTCTATGGTACTATTAAGTATTTTGTGTTCTCAGTTTTCAGATTCTGAATAAGCTGGTAAAAATATGACACGCTCACTTACCATGAATAAGCATTTTGTGTAAGAAGTACATACCTATGCTCTGCCTCAAGCGAGCTTGAAAGAACATCTGCCTGAGGTAAAGTTGAAGATCGAGTGATCTGTTGAGATGTAATTGAAGCATTGCCATTCTCTTGAGGAATTTCATTTTCAAAGTTTCGGTTTATATCTCTCTCATGATGAGGACTGTTGCTGTTACACAAGTTAAAGGAGTCATCATCCTGTAAAAATAATTACATATTACAGAGTTTACATGTAAATTCCACTCACAAGTAAAATGCTGCAATTCACTGATTGTTTAATTTAATTTTAAATGGAGATGTCCTATACTACAGAGGGTAATTCTTCTCCTTTTTTTCAAGGGTTTACAATACATTGATGTTACAGAAATCTGAAGTTATACCACTGATTGAGTAAAGTAGAAAGCAACTCCCATGCTCTGCCTGAAAGTTGTAGAAAAATTTTTTAAATTATCTTAAAAATTCAACCTTATATAAGCTGTCTTTTATATTTTTACAAAGAGTAAATTATCTGTTGAACTTACAAAGAAGGTTCCTTATTAAATACCCTGTGTCAGGCAAAGTTTGAAAATGTGAGAACTCTTATGCTTAATTGGTTTAAGGAGCAGGTCACAGTCACCTATCTCAACCAGCAAATTCACCTGCCACAAGTTCAGAAAAACTCCTTACATTCAGACAACCCATTCAGCTTACCCTACACACAGGCACACACCACAGAATTTCACAAGCTGTTGTTTCAGCAATTGTAACTTACTAGCAATGATATTAGAACTAGAGAGAGAGAGTTTATTTAGAAAGCAGACTTTGCAGATTCACTCAAATATTAAAAGCTCTTTTATCCTATAAACCTGAGATGTTTCTTTTTATTCTACTTTTTCAGCAGCTTGCAATTCTTACTCAGTAATTAGCCAGACAGACTCAGAAGTCTTAGCAACTATAGATATAAAGAAGACCATGATCATTATCTAGCTAGAACATATTTTTTTTTAAAACAAAAGCCCTAGATTTGGCACACAATAGTATTATCCATAGTAGAAGTCAACCACTCAATCGGTCAGTTCTGCACTTTCAAGAAATCATCCATCACCATTTTTCTGCTCCCATTCAGAGTTCTCAGCTTCCAGAAATTTTAGAATGTTCACCAAAAATTTCTTTAAAAAAAAAGTATCCCAGTAAATCTATGTTCATCTGTTAAATCATTAACCTCTCAGACTATCAGAGAAGAATCATAAAAATATAAAAGGATTTTACCATATTAGGGTAAAACAGTTTCCTCAAAGCCTGTCTTAGCTGCTGATCACAATTTGCCTCATTATTTCAGAGGTGAAATCTGTCACTGCAGGCCCTCTAACTCTATCATGTTACAGAACACTGTTGTGCACTTATCTACCTAATAACTCACTTGCACAGTACATTGCCTACTGATGATCATTTAAATGAATGTTGAAAGTAGACAACTATTACAGTTACACGCCTTGTTAAACTTTAACTTCTTTTCATACCTGTTAGTTAGTGAAACAAGGTGCATGCTATCACTAATAAATATTCCAAGCTACATGTTACATACACCTGTCCGAAGATATTATGGCTTCCACTTCTAAACACCTTTTTTTCCTCCCAAAATACACTGATTCAGAAAATGATCTGTGTACAGTGGTACAATCATATGCATTTGACATAAGCTCCATGAAGACAAAGAACTCAAGACAATTTCGTGAACAGGAAGTCCCATCATGTTCATATATTTTGAGAATTCTAAGCTCATGGCAAATGTTTCCCAAGACCTTTCAACCTTAACATTTCTTAAACAACATTGCACTCACCACCCATCTCAGGGTGCTTAGCAACAGAATGCCTACGAAAAAGATGAAGACCTTTCCTAACTGATACATAGTTAAATTGTACAATCCCATTACAGCAAGTTTTACTTTGCCTGAAATAGAAACAGGGTCAGAAGAGTCAGTCTTACTTTTACAATCAATGCACAGTTGCACTTTTTTTTTCCATATCTCTGAATCTGCGTAATACTTCAAGACTTTTTTTTTTTTAATACTTTTACTACTCAGACGTGTAATCACCTCATCCTGAGGTAACACATCACTTGAACTACATGAGGTAATTATGCTTATGGCTTACTGGTGGCAGGTAGCACAAACATTAATGTTCTCAGGTGCTAGCCAGGCACTACATACACAGACTGTGAATGAAAGAAACTTGACACATTAACAATATATACAGTGTAGCAAGTTCTCAGTTTCAGCAGAAACAGGTTCTTTATATACACATAAATCAAAGTATTGTTCCTACAGTAAGGCCAAGAATAGAGATGTTCTTGGCATCTAAGACTCCAATTTAAATTCTGAAAACAATTTGAGAAACAGAACCAAGTTTTTCCATTAATTGCTTTGCAACGTAACTAACAGCTGAGGTGCAAAATGCTGCCCTCCAGAAAGATTACGTTGATGTACAAGGATTCTTTATTCTTTTTATTGTTGCTAAAGACAAGGTATGCATGAGTTATTGAAATGCAGCAACATATCCTTCAGAAAGAAAAACTACATGCACTGGAGAAACAGTAGTATTTGGAGCAACTTTTTAAAATTAATCAAAAGGTAATTCCTTTCCTACATTCAAACATCCAAGACCACATCTTAAAAGCTGACTACAGATAAATGTGATGTATTTTACATTCAGTCTGAAATGTGTTACTGTGGGACCTACAGCAGGTATGAAGAAAATTACCTTCTCTTGCCGAGCATGATTCCCATCTTCATGTTCTTCTTCTACTCGATCTCGTTTCAATGCTTTCAAAAATTCACTCTTCTTATCAGTTCGCATTCTTGTCAATTTTGTTAAACGAGGCTGACCAACTTTGTCAACAGGGGATGAAGAATTTGACCGATTACACTAACACAAGGGGTTAGAAAAAAAAAAAAGACTATCAGAAGCTCATTCGTTTAGGAAAGTTTGAAAAAAAAGACAGAGTTCCTCAGGAACTTGTAGTTTGGGGTTGTGCGCATAACTCAGTCAAAAGCAGAGGGAAAAATATTTGTATTTTAATATACACGATTCTTGCATCTAAACAAAGACATACAGATTTATAGAGTACTGCTAACAAACAAACCTTCTGAGGTTTATTAGCAGTTTTAAAAGTTTAAATTTATCAAGGTTATGTACCCTAGTGCACCATTTTTACTACATATCAAACCTACAAAGCAAATTGTGCAGGACTTAATGGCTGGTGAGGTAGCTTCTGTTTCCCCCTCTCATATAAGCTTCCAAAATATAAGCTTATTACATATAATTCTGCATAAAATTTATTTATTCTCTTCAGTTATCTAATCAAGCAAATTAAAAAATTGATCTATTAAATTAAGAATACAAACACTGCTTTACCTCTTTCACTGAATTTTGTGATACAGGAAATGCCTTGGCAGTTGATTTGAAAGGAATGAAATTGCCAATACCATATGCAGATTCATGAGGAAACGCATTTCCAACTTTATTTTCTTTTGCTTGGCTTTTCCACTGTGAAGGCTAAATAAAAACGTAAAGAATCATTAACAAAATTATTTCCATCAATCTTCAGAAAAACAACTAAACAAAATGAAATCATAACTACAACCACTTAGAGCAAACACCTGTTTTCTTGTAGGATAGAGACTGTTTATGAGCAACTCATCCTCTCACAAATACTGTTTACGCTTTCTATATAATGAGTTAAATGCAAAAACAATTATCACTCTCTTATTTTGGTTCTTAATACATCAGATTAGAGTCTTCAGCAGCTGCATGTGATGTTTTTAATGCAGTAAATTCTAGAGTTAAGAACAGCTCTGTTAGATGCTCTCAGTAGCACAGAAAAAATCTCCCCAAAAAGATTAACTTAGGAAGTTGCATATGGAAAGGGACCAGAACAGTTCTAGTGGGTTGCAACATTATCTGTATCAACAGTTGGGATAAATTCTGAAGGTATTTTTATGCCACCTGTAGTTCTCTGCTTGGTACTTTTTTGTTGTTGTTGTTAAAAAATAAACACAAAAAGCATTGCTATTTCCTAAGTTCAAAACATCCTTTTAATTTGGACATTTCTCACTTTTCTCAAAAATGGTAATGCAATAAATTGAGATTCAATTACAGTTGGTTTTTGTTGTTTTAGTTGTTTTTTTTTAAGTGAAAAAGTGTTTCCACTTCTGAAGTATGTGGCAATTGAAGTGTTCAAGACCTGAAAGCATACTCTGGAAACAGAATTCCCAAGGGTGAAATCAGCACATTTTGAATCAGAGCACGTTTCATTTTCCCAGCATGTCATTCATGCCATGAGTATCCAAAACTCACCTTTGTGGGTGGAGTGGCAGGTTTAGGGATTAATCCTTTATAAACACTTGTGCCAGTTCCATTTTTTACTGGCTGTGAATGAAGACTTCCTACTACAGGAAATCCAGATATCTGCAGTTCTTTTGTATTGCCCTTTTTAATGACCAGCATTCTGGGAGATCTAGATTTAGGGTTCAAAGGATATTCTGGAGAAAAAAAAAAAAAAAGAAAAAGCATGCATGTGTATAAAGTCTTAAGTTTCTATTTTGTAAGGTACTGTATAGCCATGTGGTCTAGAACAAACAGGCATAAGGCAGGAGATTAGTCTGGTGGTATTTCCACAAATACCATGCTGTACAAATCTGGCTAAACAGAAGTTCTTTTCCATTTTCTACAACCATCATTTGTAAAATAATTCCACTTGGCAATGCAGGAGCTTTATTTGCAGAAAAGATATTCTTCAAAGAAATTAGTTGTACGGTTCTTGTTTGGAAATCTAAAACCAAATACTATCACTTGATACTAGAATAGTCAGTTTGAAGAGAACTCTAGTCCAACTGCTCAGGTACTTGGGGCTAATCAAATGATAAAACACTACTGAGGGCATTGTCCTAATATCTCTTGAACACAGACAAGCATGGGGCATGACCACCTCCCTGTGAAGCCTGTACCAGTGTTTGACCACCCTCACAAGAAATAATTTTTTCCTAATGTCCAGTCTGAACCTCCTCTGCTGCAGCTTTGCACCATTTCTGCACATCCTGTCCTCAGTTCCCACAGAGCGCAGACCAGCAGGTCCCTCTCTGCTTCCTCTCCTCAGAAAAATGTAGGAAGCAACGAGTTTACCTCTGAAACTTTTCTTTCCTAAACTGGACAACCCAGGTATCCTCAGACTATCATTACAAGACACGCCTTCCAGCCCTGTTCCCAGCTTCATTGCCCCCCTCTGGATGCTTTCAAGGATCTTAACATCCTCTGCATTGTGGAGCCCAGAGCTGCACACCATATTTAAGGTGAGGCCACACCAACACTGAACATAACAGGAGAATCACCTCTTTTAACCAGCTGTCTGTACTGTATTCAGTGCACCTCAAAATGCAATTTACCATCTTGGCTGCATCTTCAAAAGATAATACGCCTTTCATATTTCCCTTCTAGGTTACCAAAGAATTACTTGCATATTAAACACTCAATTTATAGCCAAATATGATTTATAGCCACACTGATGTCTTTATAAACATGAGAGAAGAGATGACTACTATTCCAGACCATGGCAATGACCATTTTATCTCCATGGCATGGTTTCTCTCCAAGCTCTCTAACAGCTGTAATCAGTCAGAAGCATTCTTTCACCAAGTTTTCAGCTAGCAATCACATCACTAGTTTAGGTGATCCACCTGCAGTACATTTCCTCTTGGGAGATAAATTCTTGACATCTTTCCAAAAAGATGTATGGTTGTTGGGGAACAAGAACCCTAGTTGTTGCTACATCTAAAGATCAACAGATTGACATCCAAACAGAAGTGTTACCTCTCTTACAAAAAGATACGTTGTAATGACACTGAAATTTCTACAATTTTCCCCTATCTCTATCTGTATCCTTACATTCTAAAAGAGATACTTATGTTCCTAATAAAACAACTTAAGATCTGCGCTGTATTTTTTCTACTTAAAAAGATCAAAAATACTCACCCCACACACCTGCAGCTAATGATTTATTCTGGTTTGGTTCCCTCTCATATTCAGGATTCAACGATGGCTGAAAGGAAATTTTATCATTAAAAAGTTTAGAAGTCTTGAATTACAGAACTAATGAAATAAGAAATCATAAGAAGAATGATAATAAGAAATCATAAGAACTAATGAAATAAGAATCATAACAATATCAGAAGTATAACCTCTGCTGTCCAAGATTTTTAAATGAAGACAGACTAGAAACCTCCCCCTGCAACCCTAGTATATCAATGCTCACTTGTTTCTCTTCTCCAACAAAACATCTTAAGCACCAGTCAATACCATTGCACGAACTGTCCACAGAAAGGAAAAAAAAAAAAATCACACAGTAATGAACGGATCTTGGAAGAGTAAGCTCACCCTTCCTCTTACATCCTAAAACTCTAGGTTTAAACCTGGGACCTCAGATGGCTGGTAGCAGAAAAACCACTTTGTTAGTACTTCAGATTTCCAGTAAGATAGAATTTAATACATACACGTCACAGTAAACTGTGGTAAAATACTATAAACCTAACTGTAGTTGCACTTAATCATTTAAGTGACAGTAAATAAAAATACAATGTTAAAAGTGGAGATTAAAAGAGAAACAGGTTAGTGGAGAAATGAATAACACCACCCTTAAGGTGAGGGTGATCCCTTATATGGTGATCTGTAACTGGTGAAATCTCATGAAGTAGCCTGTAATGGACAAAATGGCACTTGCAGAAACAATGAAACCCTGTTTATTATAATTACAATTAACTTACAAAATCCTCAGCCTCAAACTGTTTAGGTACTTCTTTGTCTTCCTTCTTCCCAGTTTCATTAACATGTACATTGTTTTCATGCAGTCCTTGGCCTTTTCCACAGTGGAAAGCGCCGGTACGAGCGCGGGAACCTCCGCCATGGTATCCCCCACGATGGTTTATATTTTCTGTACCACTTCTGCCTTGTGAACGCCAACCATTCTTCTCTTTTCTTCCAAAATGCCCTTAGATTTTTAAATATTAATTAAATGTAAATTGCAAGCGATATTGAAGGAACATTTTAGTTTTGCAAAATTGTTAGAAGAGTTAAGCAAGCAGCTCTATTCTCTGGGATATAATAGCACAGTGAACATAAGTTTTCATTCACATAAGCAGCAGGGAAGAATCTCAAAGAACTGTGAGAATCAGCTCCCTTTCCTGATTGCTCGTAAGTCATTGGCTAGAGAATTAACACAATATTCTTACCCTTCTTAAGAGAGACATACACCTGGAATCACTACTCTAACCAGCCCTTACTCACCACATCCTCTCCCAGAAGATCTGACTTTCCATTACATATATTTTACAACAGAACACAACATTTAGCAAAGAACAGCTATTATGATAAGATTATTTTCCTAGTCAGAGGGCTACAGTGCAGTGATATAGATGTATTTAAAATATTTCATGAAAGGTAAGTTATACCTCCATTAGGCCGTCCAATGTTAGGATCAAATCCATCTGAAGAGTTGTGTCTTCTGCGATTTGCTTCATAACGATTCTCTGTCCATGAAAAATTTTCAGAATGTTTCTCAAAGTTCAGTGATGACTGTAAAAGAACACAAGTAGTAGACCTGAGATACCTGATTAATAACAAAACTGATTTATCAGAACTGTAACACGTAGTATGGCAGACAATACAGCAATTGTCAAGTATGCATATGTTCAGAGTTATGTCAACCACCTTCATGCCAGTAGAACTGGAAGCTCTATATTCCACTCCAAGGACACTGAAACGATGCTGAGGACCATGCTTGTGACACAGGGCAAAAAAAGCCAAGTTTTTATTTTGTTGTGGCAGCAGGATGAAGACAAGTGGTATGTGTTGCAGCACAGGAAAAATAAAAAGTTAAGAAAGGACAATAAATCATAGTTTAGAAGACTGGAAGGCAAACAACACAACTTTTAACCTGGAGCCTAAGGACCTAAGAATAGATTGAGCATCACCTTAGAAGAGGTTTGGAAGGCTAGAGCTAAAGAGATAAAGGACATGTGGAGGAGGGGAAAAATAAAAAGATAGGCTAAGCATAATCTGCAAGGCTACAAAAAAGGCAAGAGGTTCTCACCATGATAAGCAACTTCCCAAACTCCATAGATTTTATCTTTAAACAAAGATACCCCAAGTTTGTCATATGCTAAATGCCAAGTGAAACTTAGTTTTAGAGACCTGATCATCTCAAAGGTGAGGCTCAGATGATAATCTATTGAAAGGTTTGAAATCTGCACAGCCCAGAACCAAGTACCATTAACATTGACACTGCAAAATTTAGATTAATAGCAACTACAGCTCTTCAATTTGGGGTTTGATTCTGGCCAGTTTATCAGTCAGAATGTTTTTTGGCATTGATATGTATTCAGGTAGATACTTTACATGTATTTATTTGTTGTGTTTGTTGCTATTAACCCACAAATTTTCCCAAGCTAATGCACCATATAGAGATGGTATGTAACTTTAACTATTAATTTTTCAAACCTTGAAAACATCATTCTAATGTAAGCATGAATGATGCATGCCTGAAAATGAAAGCCCCAAGTTTAATTACAATGGTTATTATCCATTAACATCTTAACAAGCTATATTAACATTTGATTCCAATTAGAACGAGTACAAAAAGAAAAGGTAAGTCATGGTAAGAGACTTAACTACTTTGGAAAATATATTGAAGAAAATCAGTCTTCCACCACCACCCCCATCAATAGGCAAGCACACAAAAAACAATCCCTAGGTTCTTATGACAATCTTAATAATAATCATAATAATGCCTTCAGCAGTGCTCAAGGTGCTGTTCAAAATCCACTGCTTTTGTGTAATTCGAGTAAGCAAGAGATGCTTTTTATTTTAAACACATACTATCAAATTGTACAGAATTCAAACGACAAGGGATTTCCCTCTCAGAGACCTGGGAAAAGAACTATTCCCTTGAGAACTTGGAGAGGATGGAAAAAACAGAAAGCTATAAGAAACTGTCAAAAGATTTGAAATTTAAATATTTGAGATATCATTATAAGAAACCTCAGTATCAATTCCTTACAAACAGGCTTTGATTAAGCCACTAAAAATTTAAGAACGCTTCAGATTTGCTGATTATGGTTGTAATTTTAGAAGACAGCTTTGTGTGTTCATTTACATATGACAATCTTCTAATACTGCCTTTGGAGATTCATTTTTTGAGTAACTTTGAAGAACAATCACACTTCCACAAAATGGAAGTTGTACTTGATGTATCTGAAGTTACTAAGTCATTTTCAAGGATCATGCAGTTTGTTCTTTCCCCACATGATGGAGGTATCAGTCTATCAAGCCTCTCATGGCAAAGATGACAGTAAGCTTTGTAATCAACAGGAAATCTATTGGCTATTTCTAGAAGTTGAGAAGTTATCTGACTTTATTCAGCCAGCCAAGAAACAAACCAAAACAGATTTCTGAAGTATAAGAATCCTTATTGCATAACATGAAGTGACAGTAACCTTGCAAAAAACTATTGACTTTAGCATTGTCTGCAATTGCTCCATATACATTTTACAGAAATCCTTTTAGAAATTGTATGTCCATATCCCAAAATGGCTTCACATCTGCCCAATTACAGTACTGCACTGATGCAAATATATTAATTCCTGACCTGAACTAAGGCTGCTCAGCAGCAGCTACCCAGCTAAGTGGACTTTGCTATGTAGAGTAACAGGGAGATGATATAAAAGCTTGTTCTTAAATGGAAATCAGCAGCAACAGATGAGGTGGATTTCAGTCAAGATATCATCTAGTCAGTCACGTTAAGAAAGCTCATTCCTGCTCCACCAGGTTTTTCTAATGCTATCCTTTACTTGTGTGAGGGAAAGCCTCAGCTATCCAGCATGGAGAAGAAATCAAACTCCTGAAGATACAGTTCTTCGAAGTGCCTCCTCAGTGAAACAAGTTCAGTTTCTCCTCAGTTTTAAATGCTGTTCATAGCACAGCCTTATCCCAGCTTCATCCTGAATGAAACATGAGACTCCTTCCCTCCTTCATCCTATCCTTCCTCTTCATCTCCATCCCTCTTATCTGTTCTTCCCTCCAACTGCCTCATTCAGGTGATGTGAAGCAGAAACGAACACTTATTCTAGAAACTGCAGTGTGAGGAGGGAAGGCTAGGCAGGGGGCCACAATATTTGAGATCTTTCTTGTAGAGGAATGACAGAACAAGCCTTATGATGTAAGTTAAGAATTATTACCCATCAGTAGGGCCAAAAAGACTGTTCAAATGTTTAATACCCAAATGGGCCGTGTATCACAAAGCGCTCATCACTGAAGGAAGAGGTAATGGAAGCAAATAAGCTGCAATACAGACAACAAAGCACACGGACTATAATAGCTACAATGTTCTTGGAAGAGATAGAAGAAAGCTTATCTAAACTCCTTCAGGCAAAAACTCATGGAAGAAAACAGAATCCACAACAGATGCTTGCAATGAAACTTCCTACTATTCAGGAAGGAGGTGACAAAAAACAACCCACACCTCAAATACATTTGAATACTGCTGGAACTTACTTTTATCCTGCTGTACTGACATTTTAAGTATGCAGGCAAATCTCTTCCAGCAGATTCTTGGAATATGCGGAGCAAAATTGTTTTGTAATTGTGACACTATATTAAACTAAGCTCCGATTATTATTCCTGTTGAAAACATTAAATTGGAAAGAGCAGGTCACAAAAAAAAATGCGTATTTCAGAAATCAAGCATAATAAAATCAAACATCTCAGGAGCTGTCTGGAATCAGATAAGGCTGTCTCTTAACAGCAACTGACAGTTGCTGATAGACTATCCTAAACAAAGAAACTAGCTAGTTCAGCATAAAAGAAAGATAAAAAGGTCATAAGATGAATCAGGACATCAAATGAGCTCAATAAAAAATGCACGCATACATTTGTGTGTAGATACATAAGTAAAACAATGTAGACTACTCATACTGACTGCTGACTGCGCATTGAACAATCGCACAAGCCTATTTCCAAATTTTATAAAGGCTAAGTATTTTCCATGGACATGAAAGACAGCAAGAAGCTTAAGTACATGGAAGCAACGTCACTCTCATAGTTGTGGATAAGGACATTGCATTCAAAAATACTAGAACAAAGAAGGTAAACAGGTAAATTGGGAAATGATATGCATTTGAAATGTTTAGTGCTGCCTCTACATTTCTACATTCACATGAAGAAAGAATAGGAGAATATGACAGAAAAAGAAACATTTATAAGATAATCAAGTTCAAGAATCCCTAGAAATCACGATGGGTTCAACTGTCACTAGTGGTATTCCCCAGGGGTCACTGTTGGGGTCCATCCTCTCTAATATCTATATTAAGGATATGGATGAGGGAACTGAGTGCACCCTCATTAAGTCTGCATATGACACCAAGTAGGGAGGAAGTCTCAATCTGCTGGAAGGTAGGAAGGCCCTGCAGAGGGACCAGGACAGGATGGGTAAATAGGCAGAGGCGAGTGGGATGAAGTTCAACATGGCTAAGTGCCGGGAACCTGCACTTTAGTCACAACAACCCCATTGCAGCGCTACAGGCTTGGGGCAGGGTGGCTGGAAAGCTACGGAGAGGAAAGGACCTGGGGGTGCTGATTGATGCTCGCCTGAACATGAGCCGGCAGTGTGCCCAGGTGGCCAAGAAGGCCAACAGCACCCTGGCTTGTGTCAGGAGCAGTGCACCAGCAGGAGCAGGGAGGTGATCATCCCCTGTACTCTGATCTGGTGAGGCCGCACCTCAAGCACTGTGTTCAGCTTTGGGCCCCTCACTACAAGAAGGACATCGAGGCCCTGGAGTGTGTCCAGAGAAGGGCAACAGAGCTGGTGAGGGGCCTGGAGCACAAGTCCTATGGGGAGTGGCTGAGGGCACCGGGGTTGTTTAGTCTGGAGAAGGGGAGGCTCGGGGAGACCTTATTGCTCTGTACAGCTACCTGAACGGAAGGTGTGGGGAGCTGGGGGTCAGCCTCTTCTCGCAGGTAACTAGTGATAGGACAAGAGGGAAAGGCCTCAGGATGTGCTAGGGGAAAAGTTCATGTTGGAAATGAGGAGATATTTCTTCTCAGAAAGAGCAGTCTGGCACTGGAATGGGTTGCTCAGGGATGCGGAAGAGTAACTGCCCCTGGGATGTTTAAGGAAAGTTTGGACGTGGTACTTAGGGACGTGGTTTAGTGGGTGATATTGGTGTTAGGGGGATGGTTGGACCAGATGGTCTTGAAGGTCTTTTCCAACCCTAATGATTCTATGATTCTGTGCTACTTCTTGTTCTTAAGCAAACTATTACATTTCATAAACTGAGTATTTGCAGTCTCAATTGAACAGCCACAGTGAGGATGCACAACTATTTGAAAGCACCACACATTACCACCACCAACCAAGGAGACATTTCAGAAAGTCTATTTCACAAGCACGTTTTTTCTATCACTTGGATGATGCAGTAAGAAAAAGCATTCTCTAAAACGTATAGGACACAAAGCAAAATCAGAAGCAAGAACACCATCAAGCACACACCTCAGTCTCAGTTCCTTATTTTAAACTACCTATGAAGAAGTTTTAATCCAACAGCAGCTCTGACAATGTGTCCAGGTGCTTCCTTCCTTCAACCCAGCTTTTAAAGCAGAAACCTCTACTAAAGATATAAGCCTGAGAATCGAGGTTCAACTATTTACATTGTGACAGCAAGACTTGGTAGGTGTCTTGTTATCACCCTTCCCACATTCAAAAACATATGTGTATTTTTACTGTGATTGAGGTTATGACATTTAGACTTCTCTAATAATGAAACTGACTGACCAGAAGAAAAGCAAAGAACATACCTTTGTTGACGATGGCGGAGTAGGAAAATTAAGCCAGGCTGGAGCAAAGTCATGCTGCGCCATTTAGGTCCAGTCTCTCCGAATCAATGAAACAAGGCTTCAGCACCTCATGGCAAGTCCCTGCAATTAGAAAAATAAGAAATGAGTACTTTTCAGATGTTTAACTTACAAAAGTATTACACTTGTGGTGTTGTCATCATTACTTCCCTTCTGTTTTCTGGTACTGTCTTCTCAAACAGATCTGGTTTGAAATCTAACCAGCCTTATCTCATTACAGCATCACATTTGTCCTTTTATTACCAGCGTCACACTAGTCAAGTATTTCACAAGGATCATGAAAATAAAAGTGTAACATTAATTCCTCCATTTCCTTTTACAGATGGAATGAAGCATCTTGTGTAAGGTCTGATCAGAAAGCTGAGAATTATGGAGTTGAAATATTTTCTGATACTGTTCAGAATTGACTGCAGGAACCATTTCATTAGCTTCCTAAAAATTGGTTTTTCAAATTAGCCCCTCAAAGTTAACCTCAGAGGCCATATCAGGGTTCCTCATGAAAAGACTGGATGGTTAGAGCCAGCAAAACTCCCTAATTTTCTCCAGATTGAACGTAAACAGAGCCAAAGCATCCAGAATACTGCCAAAATCCAGTAAAATTTTCTAGTGTGAAAATGGGCAAGAGAACGTAAAGGCTTAAGGCAAAGCCCAAGAGTACTTTTTCTGCCCCCTGTTCTCCTCACAGGCAGGCAAACATCTCTCAGTAAGCAAGAGAATGCAAGATAATACAAGCTATATTACCTAAAGTTGAACTATAGCACTAAAAGGAAAGAAACGGATGAAACACTGCATGGCCTATAAGGTTATGTGAATCATGCTCTGCAGCTAGATACTGCAAAACTCTCAGTGATTCAAATATATTTTAAGCAGGATAATATGCATTATTAGAAATTCAGCTGGCAAAAAAATTAACATCCAAATGCATGTCACAGGGAAGCAAACACAAGTATTCCACATCTCCGAACAAGAGAATGCAGATTTGTTAGTCAGTGAGCACAGATGGGGGTCTCTAATCTACAAATGCTGTAATTTGAGTAAGTTTTAGTAAGAGCTGTGGAATCTGAACTTCATAACTAACAATTATTGTTGCATTCTGGCCCAAATTGGGGTATTGCAAACTTCCAGTGAAAGAAGAGAACATTCCAACAACTAAAACAAAGCTTAGCAGATTTCTAAGTGTTAATCTGCACTACTTCATTGAGTTGCTGCTACTTTTTTATTCCAGGAGTTCACACAAAAGGTTTTGTAGCTACCTATGATACCAGAGTTAAGTTATAAGGTAAGATGCACCTAATCAGATGGAATCCAATGAAGACAACTTTAGAAGTACGTGTCATCCAACTAATTTGCTGTAAGTTAGTGTGCTGACACTATCTAATGTGCTTTTCTGAATTAACCTCAACAGAAATTTCAGAAAAAAAAAAAATCTAAAGAATCCAATTATGACAGCCTAGAATATAACAAAGGAAGTTCTAGAGTCACAGAACCACAACAAAAATAGATTATCTTAAAAAAAAAAAAAAAAAAAAAAAAAAAAAAAAAGGAACCAAGTTCCTGTTAGGAACTTTTGCTGATTAATCATGCTCAGTATTGATAAACAGAAAATGGTGTTTTACCATATGAGCCACCAAGAGATGCCAAATTAAGTAACAGCAAGTTAAATGTGAACTGACTAAGAAAGGAAGAAAAAAAAAAAAAAAAAAAAGGATTCCCCTCCTTCTCTCAGATACAGTTCCCCACTCCACGATGGAGAATCATGAAATCTTTAGAAAGGAGCGGAGAGGTATCAATACTGGAAAATCAACACAACAACAAAATCTTCAGACCAAAGCACTTAGAGTCTAAAAACCAGACAGATTCAGTACAAACCTGATAAGAACATATGAGAGGATCCATGAAGTATTACCATTGTGCTTTAATTCACTAGCATTCCCATCTTTTAGCTTTTGCACATCAATCACACAGGCTTGAGATGAGACTTGGTATTCACCAACTACCCCAGGACTAGAAAATATTTTTAAACCACAATGGTAGTATTGGAAAACTGTGGGCAAAGCTGTTTCTTCCCACAAAAAAATGTTCTGGAAGCAGATTCAAATCTTACCAACGTTCTCAGTTAAAGCTCTAAACAGACTTTTGTTAGTGCCATTAAGTCAGATGAGCCAATCCCTTTCTCCCAGAGTACAGCAAAATGATAGAAAAACAAATTTACTCACAATTTTCCAATAGGCACAAATACCCTATCCATAACCAAACTGGCAAAACAAACAGCAGATCAGGAAAGGATAGATATTAATATATTTCCTTTAAATCACATTGGAGAGTGCACAGCCTGCCCATCTTTGAGTTGCCAATCCCCATGTTTAACCACGTCATCAAATTCTTACAGTTGCTACCTTTCTAATGTTGCCAACAAACTTGTCCTAGAATGCATTTTAATACCAAAAAAAAAAAAATCCATCATTACAAGTGTGAGCTCTGTTTTGATGATCTAGCAGATACACAACAGTTCTACAATACTCATCATTCTCAGGAATATACTTTTGTTAAACTGAAAAGATCACAAAGGGAGAATGGAAGACTACTCTGTTGGCAGGCAGGATTGGTACACTTTAACCATTTATGCTCCATTTGATTGCTGAACATGAGTTTGATTTTTGATTGCTTTCAAATCAAGTTACACCAACAACCAAGACTACTACTTTCTTCTGCAACTTGTCCCAGTTTTGTGCTGCTCTTGGATTATTTTTGAAAGGTCAGAATTTCTACAAGATTTGTCCTAAGGTATTTTTTTATTTCCCCTTCTATTCAAGCCCATTACTTCTTCAGCTATCCAGTGTTCAGAGCCATTTCTCCGTTCTGTATCTTCCAAAGCAATTGTAGCCTCTATTCAGTTTGTACTACCTTCAAATTTAATAGCCATATGCTCTATTTCATTATTGCCAATATTAATAAAAATACTGAAGACATCTATTTAGGAAGTCACTTGATATATCCCTCCAGCTTAACATCCAACAAGATCTGCCTCTGCAGAGACTGAACAGCCTCTAAGGCAAATAGGTAGCACGTATAATCAACTCATTTTAGAATAATACTTCTGCCTTTCAGAAATACATGACTGTCCCTGTCCCAGTTTCAAGTGAGAATTCACATTAAGAATCTGAAGAGAATGAAAATAAACAGTAGGCACTCATACAAGAATTAACAAGAACCTGCTCTAATTGCATCAACAGACCATAAAGAACTCATCTGTCTGCTAGCAAGCCTTCTCTTATTACATACACATGACAACAGATCAACCACTGTTCATTAACACAGATAAAATAGCTTTGTACTCAACATTAAGACAGCTATCAGAAGTAAGTGTATTGAAGTAAGCTCCATGGATCTGAACACAGCGATTCCACTGCCTTCAGAAGCTCTCTTGGTAACAGGATGATTAGGCCCAAAATTTATCACAATGATGAATTCATCGTTCTGTCATAGCACAAACTCAAAACACACCTGCCATTAATAGAAGTATCATAAATGCTAACTTTGCTTGTGTTGTCTGTCACTGATACAGAGCTGTGCAGTTCTAAAAAGGCTAGAAAAAGACAATGACATACTGCTATCTTCTTACTACTACTATTCAAATGCATTTAGGTTTCTTTAATCAGACTGCTCACAATACGCAGTCTCATGTCAGCAACACTTTTGATGTCTGGTTCAAGTAGTGAATAGTGACTTCAGGAAAAAAGCCTTCCTTTGTCAGCCCATAAATTTAGATGTAAGTCTTCACAAGATTTGTTTTGCTGTGTAGCAGCAGAAAAAAAGTTCTTCTATTTTGCTTCTTGTGGATCCATCTGGGAAAAGTCTGTTTTAGGTAACATGCAACAATTATTCCAGTATTCAATTGCATCAAATTTAATTCTATTGTGTTGTGTTTTGTTTTTTTTCAGAAGTCTGATCACCAAAGATAAGGCAGTGAATTCAAAGCAATAATGAGCAGCTAGTCCAAAGAAGGTAGAGTGAATACAGTGAAGAGATTTGTCATAAAGCTAACAGTCACCCACTTTGAGCCACGTTAGCAGATGAAATGAGAAAAGTGTGTATCAAGTGCAATCAACAAATTCTCAAAAGTTGTAGTGGACTTGATTTTGTTTGTGGTTTGTTTTTGTTTATTTACAGTTGAGTTGATAGGGTCCTTTGTGACAACCTATTTTACTCCAGTTTTAAATGAGCTAGAAAAACTCATTTTTTAATACAAACTGGTTTGTCCTATCTCAGGAGTATTCAGGAAAGCTTCGTATATTGCCTCTGTTTTAGAAAAGAAGTTGCAGATTGAGAAAAGGGAAGCTAGAAGCAGCTGCATGAACCAGAAGTCAAGACTTCTGTGAAAAGGCTAAAAAAAATCATCAACTCCCAAAATTCTGTATTAGAAAAAAATTAAAAGATGGAACTAAAAGAGATATCATTACATGAGTTTCTGCTTACTGCATTAAATGGAAGAATCAAATCTTAACCAGTATAGTCAGCCTTCTCTGCACTATCATTTTTTTCTTTTTTAAATCATCACAGAACAAGATGCAAGTAGGACTACATTTGGAATACCATCACAGGAATTCAAAACTTTACTGAGTACAAATCACTTCAGTATTCATGGACAAGTCTCTAAGAAAACTTCTTGACTTGCCTTGCCTCACAAAATGAGGACCTAAAACTGGTCATAACACTGGGTATATATATCTGAACAGTAAATTCCACTGAGGAAAAAAAAAAAGGCATTTTAACCCCAAACACCATGAGAATACAAGATACCAGTCACGATAGACTGAAGCTGGAAAAAAAGTTCTGAAGGTCAGAAGAACAGGGTTCTGGAACATCTTTAAGACTTCAGACAAATAGACAAATATTTGAACCTGCCATTTCCCATTATGTTTACAAGTCAGAAACTGCTGTATGTTAAACTGTTTAATTACACAATGTGTGTACACAAATATAACACTGTAATAATTAAGCCATTTTTTTCCTCCTTAGGTGGTAACCGCATGAGACTACAGATACCCCAGAAACATCTTTCC